GCTTTACAACTAACATGGTTCATAGTAATAAAATAAAAGGCATGACAAAACTCAGTTATATAAAAAAGAAGTAGTCCATTGTAGGCAAAGGTTGAAGTCTGTCGTTTTGTACACACTTAGTTTAGGATGTATGTGTTTAATCCCCAAAGTGCTTCCATCACCTTCAATAACCTTGAATTAGATTTATGTGAAATAATTGTGAAACAGTCATTAATTAATATTGATTTTGTGACCCGACATTAATAAGTGCTTTGCAATGGATGATGATGCTGGATTTCTATTCAGATCACTCGCATTGGGATTTTCTATATGATTTAGTAGCCATTTTGGAACATGTTATTTTCGATGACACTGGAACATTCTATTGGTTCTACCCATATAGGTGTCACCTCAACTGCAGTCCACAGAATTTCGTCCTTTAATCATAGGTACAGGGATCGAAAATGTTCAGCGTGTGCATTTGATGGCTGACCGAAGTCTTTGAGCTAGCTGTCAACTGAATAATCTGGTTGACCCTTGACTGGTACGTTAATAAAGATAACTTTCTTTGGTATAGAAGCTGTCTTTTCTCAAGATGTGGTCTACCCTTACTGTGACAATTGATAAAAATTTCTGGATAACCATTAGCTAATAAAACTGAATATATATGTATATATATGGAACTGCTGATAATTTTAATTACACCTTGATTCAGCCATATTAGCATGTGTTCCTAAGTAGGGAAAAGTGAGTTCCTATCGCAACGGTCAAAATAAATTATTTCACAGAAGCAGTCTTTCAGATTCGGAATTACAGCTGGTAGTGTGAAAAATGTGAGCTGTAGCTTATTGGCTTTATAAGTCCCTGGAGCTAATCTTCTCAACTCGTTGGTTAGTATTTTGCTTGGCACATCAATTTTGAATTACAGTCGTGACACAGCGCTAGAACGCCCGCCAACCACACAGGTGGCCCGGTGTTAGATTCCCAGCCGACACACTCCCCTACCTCGCTAAGCCAGCAGTAAGAATGGTATAGAGGGAAGGTTGGGCATGAGACTAGTAACCAATGCTACCGAAACTTCAAACCTGTAGCTTGAAGCCCTATGTTCCACTGGAAACAGGAAGGAATAAATAAATTTGTTTATAGGGCATCTTGTTAACAGAAACAGAAGAATTCTCTTCTCCCCTCTTAGACATATGTTTCACGAGGAATTTTCCAAGATAGATATAAATTTTCAAAGGCCTACGAATATCGAACATGGCAAAAGGTAGGACTGATTGCGATTCACCTAAAAAACAACCAGATTTCTGTGTGTATAAGAAACAGTTTCAGCCGCAGCTGCTAATCTGGCTTGCTGTCGAAATTAAGAATCGCTAAATTTTGTAATATCTCTCTTAATATGTCTGATATTCAGTTTTAATATTATGCTAATGCCTAATGCCACTTACAGATGCTTCCGAAATGTAATCTGACGAGATAGCAATAAGGTGTTCTTTTAAACTTCAATGTTGTCAATTACAGTAATCCAATACAATACAACTGTTGGATCTAATGAAAAAGTTATTAAAAATAATACCCAATGGTTAACCAAGCAAACGCTTAACATTTTTAATCTGCATCATATATATATTGCTTTGATTCAAATGTCTAACCATCAATTTTTACTCATTTATATAAATGAAGCAAGAAAGTTGTTTGAGTAGTGTCTTTATATGATTCGGTTGGTCGGTTTTCGATATAGAACTTTGCACATATGTGCGGCAGTTCAAGTCGCCACACTACATGTAGCAAATGAAGCAAGAGAAGAAAGTAGGAGAAATGCATAATATAGACCGTAAACAGAGGTGTGAGACAAAGGAATAGTAATAACGAAGAACAAAACAGTTTCATTGGAAATCATGAGTCACAAGGAGTGGATGCATCTGCGCCACTCAGAACGATTTTGAGCCATGTCACCAATTGTTTCCAACCATTGGTTTTCACCGTCCCGAGGACCCCAACCAGGAAGTCTACATCTCCCTACGTGGCTTAGACTAACTGTTGTGGATTTCATTGACTAGTGAAGCCATGTTTTCGTTTGACCGCCGCTAGCTCTTTTCCAGCCTGGCCCTATATCACCTAACATTGCCCGTCGAGGAAGGCGATGATTAGGCATACGTAACACATGTCCTAACCATCTCAATCGATGCAATTTCACAACCTCGTCGATTGGTTTCCCCTCCCTACTTAGCACTCAACGGATACCTAACCTCACTATTGCTCGCCTTATTATACCACTTCACGCGGGAGATAGAATGCAGACACCTATGATCGAAGACAGCTAATCTTTTCATGTCTTCTGCTCTCAATGGCCAGATCTCACAGCCATAAAGGAGGACAGAGTGGACTGTTGAGCAGCACACAAGCCCTTTGGTCGATATCTTGGTGTGATTATAAGCAGTAGTAATAAATTGTGCTCGAAACGTGGTCATCATCAGTAAATATTACTTCTTGTATAACACCATTGTGTGACTTTATCAAAATAAATTGTCATCCATAATGGAATTACACTTGAATAAGGTTTCCTTAAGTGGATTCCAAAGACGTCAGTTTTATGTAAAAGATGAATTCGTACAACTGCGCCCTACTGATTACATTTTCCCACAAGAACCCCATGTAAGTACCTACCTGAATAGGGCAAGTTGCTAGTGAGCACCTCATTAATTTTCAAGTATTGGTTAGTAGGTATTTTGATGGATTGGTTACAGGATTTTATCATGAGCTGACAAACCAATACTTGAAAATTTCCTGTATGTTTGTCTGCGGACAACAGCGTGAATGGCTTCACAGTGTATTATCATGTCTATAGTTCACAACATGGTTTTTATTGAACTTTTAGGTAATTTGACTCCAAAGTTGTTTTCAACCACTTTGACGAATACTTCATCATGCGAGTAGACACCTGTCTTTCGGTACAGCTTATGTATTTAATTACAAAAACACAAAATGGTGTACACAGTTTGAAGTGTAGAGGACTATCGACTGGTCTTTTCCAGAATGCTGAAGCACCCACTTGGCGGTGACAAGGTAGACGAGTTCTTCAGTATAACAAGTTCTCCTGACAGCTTCATAAAGCTCCCGTTGAACTCCTTGTACTTCTTGTACATCATTTCCTTTAAGTGGTGAATTGATATACATACATACATACGAAATATTTCCAAAATGAGCCATAAGAAAGACGCGTAAACAGCGAAGAAAATTTTCTTTTTGACGATTCATTTTCATGAGCTGTACAATCGTAATTATAATTAACAAAGAAATCTTTAGACCAATCATATACTGGCAAACTTTGTCCTCGATAAATGTATTACATAATGTAAGGTGCAGTCTAAAAGGGGTGACTAAGTGGAAATCAGAAAAGGGGGCAGAAGTCCTCATGACGTAATAAGTGTGAGATGAAGACTAACCATTAAGCTCGTGCAGAATGTACAGGAACTAGTGGAAAGGCAATAAAGTGTTTTTATATAAAATCTGTATGAAAAAGCAGTGTTGTTATTAATAAACAATAATAGAGTGGTAATAAAATATGGATGATGGGAATGATAATGATGATAAAATAATAAAAATAATAGTGAACTTATGTAAGAAGAAGCAGAATTATAGTAAGAACTTTACCATGGCCATGGTAGGGCGAGTGAATGCATGCAGCGCTTTTGAATGCAGAGGTCCGGTTTCAGATCCCGGATGGCTAATGCTTCAGCTATATACAACTGGCGTATGAGAAATTGCTGTGTACGATATTGAGGGACTCTGTGTAGCGCTGTGAAGCATTCATGAGGGGGTGCTCGATGTCCAGAGATTTCAAGGTGTTTGAGGATAGCGCTTCTGCTATTCTTCTTTTCTCCTCTGGCTAGCCAAGTTGGATAGTGTTCCAGAATACCTTTGCGGACTTGAAGTTGCGTACGGCCGATATACTCTGATCCATCTTTATTTGGAAGTGTTTGGATTGTTTTACTAGGGTTTATTTCTTTAGAGTACTTATTGATGAACCTCAAAGGGTTTTCATTCTAAGATAAAATATTATCTATCTAATTGTGTCTATAAAATAAAATGCTTGGAATGTGATGCGATATACACCGGAAAAACATCCCCGGGGAGAAATCAAAAACCAGAAGAAATGAACACCGTAGAGCATCTATTCGACCACCGAGAAATCCAATTGAACTGGAAAAACTTGAAAAATCCTCAGCCGTAGGTCGTCTACACGCTACAGAATCAGGTCACAAAATTGATTTTAACAATATTGAAATAATCCAGAAAAAAGAATTCAGAAACCATAAAGAACGTCTAATATCATCAGAAACACTTCATATCAAGTAGAATCCAAATTGCCTGAATAGGAATGATGGACTAAAACAGAATCTGACTTGGTTACAACACTTCCCTTCCCTCGTCAATGAAGTGACAAAATCAACACGAATTTGATAAGCAGGTTCACTACGTAAACATACACTGGTTTTATAATTTTAAACACTGATGAAATCCAACAATCCACACTTGATTTTGTTATCTTTACCAAAATGACCAACTTGACAACGAAAAATGACCCCAGACTAACGAACGATGATCAAGTTAGTAAACTTTGTTTTCATATCATAACAGATATACTAATACCTTTGTTATTTGATTTAGTGATCTTCATTGTTCTTTGACTTTCAATATGTCCTTTTAACTTGACCTAAATCTATTTGCTCACCCCTTAACTCTTTGTTATATATATGCTGAGATTTGTAAATTCCAGTTTAATAATACTTTGCTAAAGCTATTAGCATTACATAGCGAAACGTCAGTAAAACAATATCGTTTTGTTTTACATTCATTGGGAAATACAAAAACCTTTATTATAATGAAAACATTCTTCGGATTCTTTATTTTATGTTCAGTTGTTCTGTCATAATCGATTTTTCGTGCTCTATTGAACAATGCTCTAACTAAATTTTTAAACCTGAGTCTTTAGAGTTCTTCTCTCCTCCCTTTTTTAGCATGGTTGCTTATGTTTCAAACTACCTCCAATTCGATTGAAATCAAGACGCCTACATCATTTTTATAAAGAAAGCCAATCAAGTGAAACACTAGAACCTGTATTCTCTGGCAGTATACTAACTGACAACCAGAATACGCTGACATCGAAGCATACAAGGAATCCAAGGAAAGGTCACCATCACCACGACCACCACCAACAACAGAAGCATAAAATTGCTGTCTCCTGCCTTCCAAGTGAACTGTCAAGTGATCAGCTGACACAACAATTACGTCAAGAAAATTCAACGAATAAAAATAGTATCTCGTCTATCAAATTAGAAGTCCCTGTACTACCGTTTACTAACAATCAACCGGGACAAGATGATACTGAGGTGAAACAAAATTCCCAAACTACACCGAATAAAGTCCAGGTGGCTATGAAACGTCTGTATAAACAACATAATTGGAAGTGTATACCAACAAGGAAACAGAATACAGGTCAATTAAAACATTTAATATGGCAAATTATGTGGTGTTTTTTCACTACAATCTTGGTTAGTGTATCCTTTGTCAGTTTCATACATTGTATACCAAATATATACGTTTCTAGTCATTGGAATAGCTCTAACTTTCAGGTAAGTCTACTTTTAGGGTGTGAATGTATATATTTATTTTTTTTTATTTTGATTACAGGTTGATGCCACACCGTATTTTTAGGTACAGGTATGGAATTTTCAGCATGGATATCGGTAGCCCGAATTTCGCAGGCCGACCATAGATATCGGGTGTGCGCCGGCAGAGGGTCGAACGCCGGACCATGTGCATGGTCGGCGAGAGTCCTAACGATTGTGCCACCGACGCACAGCACTTTGGTAGTAGGTAATTCCATATTAGATTGTTTATTAGATAGATCACACACAATGAAAAAGAATTATTTACTATTATTTAATATTGTGGCAGATATATTCATGAATAGGTGGGATAGCATAGCGACTGAAATATTCAGTCCCACCCCAAAAGAATGGTGGAGGTATGTAGATGACAAATTCACTGGACTTAGAACACACCATAAAGATAGATTTTTCGAACACATTAACTCAAAGGTTGAAGCAATTCAATTCACTTATGAATTGGAAAGTTAGGAAGAGGAACTACCAATGTTAGATTGCAGTGTAAAAAAGAAAGAAGATTGGAAATTGAGCGTCAGTGTTTACAGGAAACCCACACATTCAGACAGATATTTTGACTTCCGATCATCCCATCCTATGTCAGTGTAAATAGGATTCGTAAAATGTTTAAGTGACAGTAAGGCACTAAAACTATGTAGTACCAAGGAAAATTTAAGATAGGAAGTGAGGCATATAAGAGAAGCTTTGAAACTTAATAATTACCCTGATAAATTATTCAGAAAGTATGTGGGGAAATGTAAAATAAAATAAATAATGATAGTAGTGACAGTGATAATAGTAATAATAGTAATATTAATGATGACATGCATATTAAATATGCGCAAGACAACACCAACCATAAGGAATCTAAATCATCAGCATTAATTCCATACTAAGAAGGAACCTCGGAAACCTTACGCAGAATTCTTAACAAGGCAGAAATATAAGTGGCTGGCACTCAAACGCACAAAATCAATTAGAAACAAGCTTTGTCGGTTTAAGGATCAATCCTGTGGAGCCTTTATAAACAAAACAATTTAGTCTATCTAATACCCTGCCTGCAATGATTGTCAGGTCAAATACATAAGTCAAAGTAGTAGAACAGGGGCAGTCAGTCAGACTAGCCGAGCATAAAAACCTAGCAGCCAGTTGTAGACTAGCTAACCCAAATAAGATAAGAAATCTTGAGAATAGTTAAGCTATAGCACTCACTAAGTGCAATTACACACCCCCATACAACAGGATGGGATGGGATAAGATAACAGTTTTAAAATCCAATGTAGCAGCAGGGTGGAGGGAGAGATTGATAGCGGAAGCTTTGTTTGTCGAATAAACTGACAGAGAATACGTGTAATAGGAATGTCCACCCAGATATCGGGAAAATTCTACTACCTCTACGACGACAAATGGGAGAGAACAAAGAAAACTATCAAACTCAAGTTTTGAAGTCGTGTGATTATAATTGATGAAATGATTATGAACAATACTAGATTTTGTTCGAAACTGTGTCATCCAGTAAATAATACTGCTTCACTCACTGTGTGATATATCTAATAACCAAACTAATATGGAATTTTTAAGGTGTTGTTTTATATTTTGAATAAAATTTCGATGAGTTGAAGCGAGGATCTTGTGTACAAACTGACATTATTTAGAGAATCACTGAAAACCCGGTAGTGCTGAACAACGATTTTGTCCCAGTTTGAGACTCTTCAGGAATGGTTGCGGGATGCAGAATTCATAGATTCGTCAAAATACCTGAACATGTCTGTTGTATGCCTATGAAGAATCTGAAACTAGGAAGTAACAGCTGTTCAGTGCTGAGGGCATTTTATTGATGCCCTGAAAGATTTCCGTTAGTGATGTAATCTGCTCTGAAATCTCCTTTTGCTAAGTGTTTGCTTTCATTTAGTCAGCGCGATACATGTTTGAATGAGTTTCTGTTAATCAGGAGGCATTAACACTCACGACTGGCTGATACATATAATTTCTTCAAAATGGACAGTGTGTTACTCTTACCTGTAACGCTTATCATTATTCCGCTTAAAGTCGCCTCGTTTGCTTCAGTGATCTCACGCTCACTTTTGCATAAAACTCTTTAATATCGATTGAGTGATATGAGTTTTTGCATACTACTCGCACCAACTAGTAGTTTGTGCCAGCTAGATCAAATCGATCTAAACGCTTGTCGGCTATTCCACTAAATTGGGGCAAAGCACATCAGTCCTTCACCCTGTTTATCTCAACTCACATAACAGACTCAGTTCCAGTTGACTGGTTTTCGATCAGCTATGCGGGCTATCTGCTAATCTGATTGATTTGATTTTGATTTTTTGATTACAGCTTGATTCCACACCGCATTTTTTGGTACAGGTATGGAATTTTCAGCATGTGATATCGGTAGCCCAAATTTTGCAGGCCGACCATAGATATCAGGTGTGCGTCGGCAGGGGATCGAACCCCGGACCATGTGCATGGTCGGCGAGAGTCCTAACCGCTGTGCCACCGACGCACACCGAATTCACATCGAATTCACAGTTTGGAAATTGAATTATGATTCACACAGTTCAAGGTGAAATGTTTATCAAGTGGATCATATAGTGTGATCTGTCTGCAACACTTTGAGTAGGATATATACATATGTCTAAACCAAGTTCACATTTAATAGTTTGAAAAAATTTATGTGTTAGGTGTATGTGATATTAGATGGTTGGAAGCAATCGGCAGGACGGCTTGCCTGATCTAAGTTTAGTGCTACTTGGCACTCACCACTCAGCAAGTCCTATCTGCAACCTTGAAGGAACTAATTTCCCTTTTGTGATTCGTAACGTCTCTGACTGCCGGCGGCACTGGATGACAAGGGTTCGATTCTCAGAAGGACATACACTTTGCTGACTGGTGAGTGCCGACTAGCACGAAACCTGAGTCAGCCAAGGCTTCCTGCCGATTGCCTCCAAAAATCTGAGATCATCAAAACTATGTGCGCCATGATGAAAAGCTACCTAGAATGGTGGCCAAGTTGCAAACCTGACTGACAGAATTCAGTCTACATCAAAGATAGGACTAGACACACCACAATAAATACTAGTGTTCAATTAAAATCCATGATATTCATTATTATACACTTTTTTGTATTTTCCAATGAATGAAAACAAAACGATATTAGCGTTTTTACTGATGTTTCGCTATTTTATCCTGCTAACAGCTTTATCAAAGTAGACATAATAAACCAGAATTTACGCAGTCTCAGCTTATATATAATAAATTAATCATCGTTCTTCAACATGGGGTCATTTTTGCGTTGTCAAGAAAGCCAACTGTTAGAGATAACAAAGCTAAGACTCCAGAGTTAAATAAATAGCCAAAGAACTTCATCAACAAAATGAACACTGACATTAAGTATGGTCGAAAACCTATTCCGAAAACATGAACCTCAACAGTTGTATTTCCATATAGACCATCAGAGACGTCAGACGATATCAGAAGAGTACTCAATAAACACATCATCAGAGTTTTCTTCAAAACATCAGACACACCGCGAAGCAATGTTGTCTATAAAGAAGACCGAATTCCTAAAGATTCTTAACATAATTGGATCTACAAAAGAAGATGCTAGGAATGTGATGTGATATGCATCGGACAAACATCGCCAGGGAGAAATCAAGGTAATCAGAAGAAATGAACACCGTAGAGCATCTGTTCTACCAACACCGAGATGTTAATCCAGTTGAACTAGAAAAGCTTGAAACATCATCAGCCATAGGTCACGCTACAGAATCAGGTCACAAAACTGATTGTGACAATACCGAAATGATGCAGAAAAAATACTTCAAAAATCACAAACGACGTCTAATATCATCAGAAACACTTCATATCAAATGAAATCCAAATTGTCTGAATAAGAATGATGGACTAAAACAGAATTTGACCTGGTCACAACATCCACTCACCTCCCTCATGAAATGACATAATCAACACGGATGTAATTGGCATCTTCATTTTGTAAACACACACTGGTTTTATAATTTTACACACTTAACAAATCCTTGTCACCTGGCTTTATTATATTTACCAATTGGCCAAAATGGACAACGAAAAATGACCCCATACTGAGAAACGATGATTAAATTGTTGTACATAAGCTGAGATTTTGCAAATTCAGGTTTAATAATACTCTTCATGAAGTCATAAGCAGCCTGGGAAAGCGAAATATCAGTAAAATCAACAATATCGTTTCGTTTTTATTCATTGGGAAATATAAACACTTTTATAACAATGAACATTGAGTAAGAAGTAATCGGTGATACGTTTTGAAGCTACCTGGTATTTCATCACGTTACAGCCGTCTGTTTCTGAGATAAAAATAAAGGAGCGTTAAATCACCTTGCAAAAAGCTAACCACTTTAATTTTGGCACATTTCTCATCCTGTATTAAGAAAGTGCTACGAGTATTCTCACTTTTTATCGTCTTTCAACCTAAAAGGAAAGTTATCAGACGCTTACAAACCTAATTTTACATTTGAGTGAAGGTGTACAAATGGTAATTCAGAGTCAACTGATTCCTATAAAATAAAATAAAACTTCCTCATCGTGTGTCCAATCCATCTATATTTCTTTCGGTATGATAGCCACTTCCTCAGTGTGGTTTTTCGTTGTCGTCTGAATGGCTGGAGCAAACTACCAGACCTCCAGTTAACAATTTCAAGAGTCCACTAAAATTCTATTTGCTTTCTTATTTTCAAACACCTTGTGAATATTCCACGTCCCATTGTTTATCTCTGCCCTCATCGAAAGAAGGCACTTCAGCTGACTGGTTCCTTCAAGGCTTTCACCAACCTGAATCATTTCGTCTCTTCAAATCCAGCGATGAAAAAGTTTGTGTCTTGTATTTTCCTTATGCACTGGAGTCTCCAAGGCGATTGAGTTTATTTTTTAAGGTGGGGTCTTCAGTCCCACACCTAACCTTTTCTCTTTTTCCGAGCTAAGAACCGACTAGTGAAACAGATGAGGTTAACTCTTATCCACTAGTCCAGGTGTGCCACTCTGCTTTTATAATGTTAAGTTACCTATTCGTCTTTAAATTGATTTGCAATGGTTACATTATGTAAGAGTTAAATGTTTTTTTATACCTTTTTCAGGAACTTGTAAATCCTCCATCATTGGCTTCCTATTCTATATCATTTTGGTTAATTCTTATTTATCCTGTACACCTCATTTTCACTTTGTTATTTCGTTTGGAGACAACCAATCTGAATGAAATGATCATGTAAGTATTTGATTTTGTGCACAAATTGTGGTGATCTAATTTCTGCTTTTGATGATCAATTTTTATTTCATCATCATTAAATTACTCATTTTAAAAGTTCATAAGTAATATGTGGTATGGAAGCGGGTGAAACAAATTAAAGCGTCAGCTAAATCAGTCAGCTGCCTTATATCCTACCAATTGAAATGCATCTAATTTTATCTATTTCGTGTTGTTTAAATTACCAAATAACATTCTTGTAAAGTACTCAGGCTTTCCATCAGAACCATTTTCATTAGGTATCATTAGTGTAAGCGTAAAACTTGAGCACTGTGGTATAATGTAACTCTAAATTAGATATTCTTATTGTAATTGTTTCCTTAAATTCCTAGAGAAACATAGGGCTCCAGGCACACATTGCGTTCGCTTCTCTGCTAACGTTTTCACCTGGCTCCACGTCTGTCCACATGCCTTCATCTCCTCTTCAAATCACCTCTTCCATGTCACCCTCGCACTGAACACCAACTCACCGCTTTCGATTCGGCCGGGTTTCACTAGAGCGATGGCTCGGGGTGTGATGTCACTCACTTGATTGTTTGTTTGTTTTCTCAGAGTATGACCAATCCATCTCCATCTCTTCCCGCAGATTTCTTGTATAACTGGTTCCTGCTGGGTTGGTTCGCTCCCAACGATCCCTGGTACTGATATTTTCTGGCCAGCCATCTGATCCTGAGTAGTATTGACCGAAGAAAGCTGTTGATGATGATGTTCTAAGTGACCTTCGTGATGTGGCGCGAAGTCTCTGATCCATATATTTTATAGCACTGATTTCACATTGGAGTTGAAAGTGCCCATCTTATTTTCATTTTTATACTGAGAAGTGCGGTTGGTCTTCACACAGATTTGAGAGTAATGAAAGCTGGCCTTGCTCTCCCGATCCTCATACTTTTATGTCCTCGTCAGTTCCGTCCGCACGTAGTTGAAACGATGCTTACAAGGTAGGTAGGTAGGTAGGTGAAGGATGTTGCTTCTTTCAGATTTCTCCCATTTATGGTGATTGTTGTCTGTTGTTGTTGCTGTCGGCCAGGATTCTCCATCATCACCTCTATTTTCTCTGTGTTCACCTGAAATCCTGTCTTCTGTGGATGCATCTTCTGCCAACTCGTTGCATTTCATTTGCATATCTTCCGCTTTGTCGGAAATCAGGCATATATCACACCTGAGAATTACAGATCCTCCAAGTTTTTGTGTGGGTCCATTTTATGCCACACTGATGGACATTCGGGACTAGCAAAGGAAGCTGAAAAGCCTTGACTCCAGAATCATGAATAGAATATGGACCGGATCTGGTCACCAGAAACCATCGGAACTTGGCTCCTGACTGTGCTTCACTGTCTCGCGGATCAAACTAGCAGTCAAATGGTCGGTCTAGGCATCCCAGCTGTATACCAGTTCTCACATTGGCTCACACAAGGTATCACGTCCAGGTTTTTAACTACTAAATAAATATTGTTTTCAAGTATTGGTTTGTAGGGATTTGATTGATTGGCTACAGGATTTCATCATGAGCTGACATAGGTTAAAGAATCAGATGCTCACTAGCGACTAGCCCTATTCAGGTAGGTACTTATCTGGGGTTCTAGTGGGATGTCGTGACCAGTAGGGTGCAGTAGATCGAGAGTGAGGACAAATACTCACCGACGGCATTGGCTAACGGTCGCACGATGTCGTGACTTGGCAGAAGTTGGAATTCATGGAGTGGCCATTGGATCTGGTCTCAGTGGCTGAATGGTTTACGAGCTCACTAACCTTGTGATCAGAAGGTCTTGAGTTTGAACCACTGTGTCGATTGCGTACTGCTGAAGAGTTTCATTCTAGGACGCGGTACAGCTGTTCAGTACTCCCAGGTTTTCCAATGGTCCTCTAACCGATATCAGCTCATGATGAAATCCTCTAACAAAATAAATATTGCTTTCTTTTGTACAAGTAACTAATTAACTTTGCTTCATCTGTTATTTCTAGGCATCATGCTTTAACTGTAGCAAGTGATCAACCAAAACTTATGAAAGTTATTGCAAGGTGTAGCCTTTTATCAAGTCTTTGGCAAATATTTATACATTGTTATATACGCAGTTTACGGATAGTAGCACCTGTGGACTGTGCTGCTATCACAGCTGTACTACCTTGTTTTATTTACTTATTATCATGGATTATTGTACATAGACGATTTTGTGCTTTACGAGTAAGTTATCACAACCTTTTGTTTACTTGGATTGTGAAAGGATTAATTTGTTATTTTGTTTTATATTTTCTATGCATGAAGTAGGATCTTTACTGAGAAGTGAACAGCATATAATGAAAGGTTTGTATAAGAGAATAACTAAAAGCCTCCCATGTTTGTTTGAAGCTATAGTATGATGCCAAATACCAAATAAATCACAATGGAAATGTCACCGAATCCATTCGTAGTGGAGACAAGAGCTGACATTCCTCGTTGCATTCGACTGGATCATGTGGCAGACCTCGATGAGTGAGATGATAGCCATAGGTTGGGGAAAAAGAGGACTCCAGAAGTACTGCAGTTGGAGGATGATTTATGCCTATTCTCATATAAACTTGGATATGTACAAGCGAAAATCAGCAATACGTCTGATGAAGTAGCAAGGATATAACAGGAAGCACTAGTCACCATCAACTGGAGAAATTTGAAAGAGGCGATTTCCTTCATTTATCTGGGGGGGGGGGGGAGGGGAATTGTTTCAAATACTGGCGTCATAGATAAAGATGCCTAAGGTAAGATTGGAAAAGAAAAACTGATCTTCATGAATCTGAATTCAGTATGAAAATTTCCTGCATTCACCATTAAAGAAAAAATGTGAGGTCTTCATTATTATTGTCCGGTCAGTGCCTCTATATGGCTCAAAGACTTGGTGCGCCATTGAAAGCATTTTAAACAGGTTATCGACTGCATGGAGGAATTCATCATGAGCTGACATCAGTTAGAGTTCCACTCGAAAACCTGGGAGTACTGGACAGCTATTGCGTCCTAGTTTGGGACTCTTCAGCAGTACGCACCCACCTGGATTCGAACCCAGGACCTTCTGGTTACAAGGCGAGCTCGTAGACAATTGATCCACTGAGACCCGATCCAATGGCCAATTCACGAGATAGCGCAACCATTTCGCAATGTCTTCTTCGATAAGTTACTGCCTCATCTTCAACCTGCTGTACCTTACTGGTCACGGCTTCTCAGTGGGCAAGCATTTAACCTGGGGTTCTAGTGGGAAGCCGTGACCAGTAGGGTACAGTAGGTTGAAGATGAGGCAGTAACACATCGAAGAAAACATTGCGAAATGGTTGCTCTATGTCGTGAATTGGCAGAAGTTAGAATTCATGGGTTGGCCATTGGATAGGGGCTTAATGGTCTACGAGCTCGCCTTGTAACCAGAAGGTCCTGGGTTCGAATCCAGGTGGGTGCGTACTGCTGAAGAGTCCCAAACTAGGACGACGGCTGTCCAGTACTCCCAAGTTTTCCAGTGGTTCTATAATTGATATCAGCTCATGATGAAATCCTCCATGCAATCAAAAAAATTCCCTACAAAACCAATACTTGAAGGCTATGGCTTCTCATGAACAGCTGCCTTATCGTTATACTGAAGATTTTATTGTCAGCTGAAAAGGATGTGCAACGATGAACTCTGGCAAGCATCGTACCCGACGAGACTCCATCGCCAAACAAATATTATATAGAAGCAAATAAAGATGGATTGGACACACATTGAGGAGATCATTCAGTGAGATCCCTGCACCAGGCCGTTGACATGAACGGGATTGTGAAATTATGAATTAGACACGACTGCTACTGAAGGTGTATGTTCTATTACCAACCCAAAGGAATAAAATTAATGTAATTTTACTCTGTTTTGGGAACACTATTTTTGCAATTAACCAGTGCAGCTTTAGTCAACCTTTCGAATGTACTCAGAATCGTGCCAAAAATAGTTTCTGCTTCAGATGAATGTTTGAGTAAATCATTCAGAGAGCATAAAAGGTTTTTACAATCAAAAAGAATTTAGAAAAATGTTATTAGATTTTTATTAGTGTAATTATTATCTTATAATCACAGAGTCACTTTTAGTTATAGACATAAAGATATATAAAAGTTCTGAATGAAAACTACCCAATTTCTAACTTTATTGATTTTGTTAATAGTCTGACGTTCCATAAAATCTGTATTACTTACCAATATTTCCCAGCGGGGTTATTGACTTTTAGATAAAAAGTTACAGCTAGGGACTTGCGTCATCTTTTAGGATTGATTATGCAATCGCGGCGAAGAAGATGGATGTCACAGAGTCAACTTTGTCATCTCTGTTTCGCTTCTTGACTGAAAAATCCAGATGTATGTAGTCAAATTTTACCAGAAATTTAGAACAAATGAAGCAACGGGCCACAAATTATTGGAGATATTGTGCGAAAATTTGCCCAGAAGGAAGGATATTCGTTGGGTGGAGAGCTAAAATTCGCAAGGACTACTTATACACCCTATTCATTAGTTGATTAGTAAGGATTAGATATCGGTTAGACGTCTATTGAAAACCAGCCACAGGGAGTACTGGACAGCCAGCTGTTTCATCCTAGTTTTGGGAATCATTAACAATACACACTCACTACAAGGGTTCGAACCCAGGGTCTCCTGGTTACAAAGCAAGCTCGTATATCATTCAGCCACTATGACCCGATTCAATGGTCAGCTCATTAATCCAAACTTCTACCAATTCGTGATTTTAGCACGATCATCGGCAGGTGTCACTGGCAGGAAATTAATCCTCACTCCCAAACTAGGATGAAATAGCTGTCCAGTATTCCCTGTGGGTGGTTTTCAATAGTTCTCTAACTGATATCAATCTGTGGTCAAACTCAAAAAAAAACAATTTCTTACTGAATCAAACTGTAAGACGTTTCGAGCACAATTTATTGCTCATAACCATATCGATATGATTATGAGCAATAAATTGTGCTTGAAACGTCATCAGTAAATATTACTGTATAACACTGTGAGACTCTATCAAAATAAAATTTACCCATAATGGAATTACACTCTACCACAGTGCCCAAGTTTTATTCTTATATCAAACTGTAAGAGTAGACGAATTTCAGTATTTCGAAAATACCCAACTATATGTGGAAATAAGAACATATAGTTCAGCTGAGAAACTTTATAGAGATTTCATTTGCCTAGCTGCATAACTGCAGTTATATATAATCATTTAGTGCTTGTATATTCGTCCGGTATTCGAAGACTTTTAGGCAAAAATCAGGAAGTTGGCCTGAGGGGCAGACAACGAAGACGGGAAATTAAGTGAACATAGAGATGACGGATTTGATGAAGACGACCAATCAACAATAACAACAAGCACCAGTTAGCGTCCACGGGATAAATTTGTGAGATTTGAGGAGCATTGTTTCAGATATGGACGACAGAACGGATAAATATGTGAAAACCGGAATCAGAAGGACAGGAAAGGCATTTATCAATCTGGAAAATCAGTTTGGAAATATTCTGCACTCAGCATAAACAAAAAAAATAAGATCTTCAATGCCAATGTTAAATCAGTCTTTTCTTCTATATAGGTCAGAAACTTGGCCGGTGTCTAACGAAAAGCATTTCCAATATCTTTCAGACCTTTATTAACAGCTGCCTCCGCTTGCACCTTACAGGAGATCATTTAGCCAATCGAAAAGAATTATCTACAAGACAGTTGGTGAACGAAACAATCAAGAACCCACTGCTCAGCACACATTCTGAACACAATGGAGATGCATTGAACACAAGCTGAGGAAACGGCGAGGCCCTAGAATGTGGAACAACGAGTTGGGTGGTAACGAGTGTGTGACATGGGGAAGATCGTGTGAGATGAAGATAAAGGCTTAAAAGTGAGGCCACCTAAAGAGGAGTAAAGAGAACAGGAAAAAAGGAGATTTCCAGTTGAAGCCCTCCCTATATGCCGCTTTTGACACAAGGGAATAAATAATAATTTCAGTCTGGTAAATCAAAACAAATTTTTAAACATCCGTCTCAGATACAACCATCAAAATATAGTGAGATAATGAAGATTAACCAGAATGTACCTGATGGTGTGAAAATGAGTAATCCTCAACTAAAGGCTAAGTAGGTATTGGTGGAAACAACAGCGATGAGTATCAATATGCACATTATGTAACAAAAACGATTTAAAAAATTGAGCAAGGAATACCTTTTCAATAATTTCCTCTTCTGCCTCTACAATTACAAAGATATATTTGTATACACAGAATATTCTAGAATAACCACCATTAACAATATTGGTGATTTCAAATACTATCAATTTGTTAAGTAAGATTAAGGGAATTACAGTTCACAAAAAATGCATGAATTAAAATAAGCATGAGAATGTAATAGCCAATAGAATATCAAATAAAATTAAGGATATTTTCACAAAAAATTGAGAATCTTAAAAACTGATGGCCAAGGTTAGTATGGACAGTGTCTGAACCAACTTCTTCGGCCTCAGCAATATGTAGTAGAAGAACTGTTAAGGGAAGTTAGGATTAGTTGGTATGCTGTAAATGACGTTGAGAGCTGCCTCGTTAACATCAGTCTTGTTTTATGTATCCACAAGATGAGACGGAAAAGCGAAATGCATGGATTTTGTTTGTCCTTTTCTTAACTACGCAGGATAATGTTGGGGAATCTGACGATAAATAAGCTTAATTCTATGGCCTATGTATCCGGCTCAACAGGAACAGTCAAAATGGTAGATATACATCATAGAAGAGGTGAAATTAGGCAGTTTATTTTTAACTCCCGAACGCAACCTACGGATGGTTTTGAAGACACAGCATTAATTCATCACCACTAAATGCTCTTTTTACAGCCGTATTGCTTAGGCGTTGTGTTATTATCTCAATGATATTATCGCCAAGGACGTGAAGTTAAAAGAATAAGGCCTTTTTCTGAACCATTGTTACTTTGACCTGCCTTGACGGCAGGTCAAGGTTCTAATGATCCTCAATTTGTTGTGGAAATTTCCTTAATTTTATTTAATATTCTATTCGTTACTATATTCCCATGCTCATTATAACTCAAGTGCATTTCTTGAAATGTAATTCCATTGATCTAACTTAACAAATCGATATTATTTGAAATCATCAAAATCGTTAATGTCGGTTGTTCTAGAATATTCTGCGTATATATATACATTTATGTAGAGGCAGAAGAGGAAATTATCGGAAGGGATATTCTTTTGATTGCACACTAGTCAGTAACTAGTGTAATGTTTCTAGTCCTATCTTCGGTGCAGACTGAATTCTATCAGTCATGTTTGCAATGTGGCCACCATGCTAGGTGGCTCGCCATTACGGTGCACTGTGAATTGTTGGTATTAGATGGTTGGAGGCAATCGGCAGGAAGCCTTGCCTGACCTAGGTTTCGTGCTAGTTGGCACTCATCAGCAAGGCGTATCTGCAACCTTGAAGGAACTGATGTCCCTTCTGAGATTCGAACCCGCGTCACCCAGTGCTGCAGTCAGAGACGTTACCATTGAGCTATTCAGGCTCGCGACTGACCTCCTGTATTCTTTGCTCACTGTTTTTTTCTGAATGTCTGAATAAATATTTTTTTGGCTATATTTAGTGACAAACAGAGTAAACAAAAGCCGAGACAAAAACTGTAATAACAGCAAAATATTAATGAAAAATGGGTTCAAAATCATTTCCAAGTTAGAAGGAGTAGGTGGATGAGGCTTGTTCTACACTCATGGATCTAGATTTTCGTTAAACATTCAATGACCAATGCAGAAAATGTGTTTAATTATAACACTTCATACTAAAACTCATTTTAGACTCTTTTCAACCATGTAGAATAGTACTCCTGGACTCTTTTCGATGAAACAGCCAGTGAACAATATATATATATATTCATGTCGCACCACTGTAGTAGACACACAAATAAGGCGTCAAAATACAACAGTTCACTTTTCAAGTTACTGGAGGGCTTTTGAAGTTAGAAGAATATCAGTCGAAATGTAGACGTTTAGAATGATGTCTTCAGAGAGCTCGATATTCACTACTTGACACTTTTGACCAAAAAGTCACCTGTGAAGGCCATATTCACGTAAAAGACATTTAGCAAAGAGATGGAATTTTTTGGGCTTCTGTCTTATATGTTCCTCCATAAAGCGTGAAGGACACTCATTTTCAACTGGCATCTTTCTTAGGAAAATGATTTTTTCTCCCAATAACTCCGGCTCCAGACTTTTCACAAGAGTTACTATCGGGCTTCTTCAGCATTTTACGGCATCAAATTTGCAGCTGGCTATTCCACTTAAATCTTCTAAATATTAATTCCTATAAGGTCCCACTACCTTCTTTGTCACTAGGACATTCAGAAGATCGTTTGTCTGGTTCCTACCTCAGTAGTGAATTTGATGGTTTGATGGCAAGTTATAAAAACCCTTAGGATATTATTTACGTCACAAATTATAAAATTCCCATCAACATACTTTTTACAAAGAAAACTGCCGTCGACAGTTGATTTGAGCGGACCGTCTACCATACTTGCCACTGAAATGTCTGTATGTAATGGACCTAAGGTGATCCCATGACTACTTCTTCTTTCTCTCTGTAAATCAAACCATAGAACATAAATTTTGAGTTAAAAGTGCATCAAAGAAGAAGTTCTCACATTATTGTAAAGTTGTCATTTCAACATTCAAGTTGCTGTCTTCCAAGTATTTACATAGGAATCAAATCGTCCCAGTAATCGGGATATTTGTCAAGAATCAATCGATATTAAGTGAAGTCGATGAAATCAGCTAGCTATTTTTTTAGAAAACAGAAAGATTGAGCGAAGAAATATTTACTTTTCGATTAGATCCTCATCTCTGGCTCTACTCTAATATACACGTAGAGCGTTTTTATTACAATACACAACAGTTTACCAAACAAGTGGTGATACGTTTGTTAATAATAATTAAACAGTGTCAAAATGTCAATGGGCTGATAATTAACGAAGAAAATCAATACACATTTAAAAGGTAGAAATGGATAGAATAAATTAATTTTAGAAGAATAACACGTAATTAAAGATGAAGTGGTCAGAAAAAATAAAATAATTTGGACAATTATAATTTTTATTATTTTAAAGGTTAAGGGGGAGAAGGGTGAAGTAGTCCGGTTTACACATTCATGTAACGATGGCCAAGGCCAGGAAAGTGGCTGCACAAATTTCTTCTGAACACACAGGTTTGGCTGGCTTCTTCAGGTGGATTCCTATTGCTTCAGCTGTCTGTAGAAGACGAACTCGTAGAGTAAAATTAAGATCAATAGGAATGCAATAGATGATTTTAAATGCAGTATTAACGTCAACCTTATGCTTAGTATCTACAAGGTGTGCTAAAATAGAACTACGAATAGATCTTGTTTGTCCCTTGATTAACCATGTTGGATGATGTTCGGAAATACGATGACGAACCTGCCTTATTGTACAGCTGATGTAGCTGGCTCCGCAGCTGCAGTCAAACTGGTAAATACGCATAGAAGAGGCAAAATTTGGGTAGTTTATCCTTATTTCTCGAACGTAGAATAGCGATGGTAGTGAAGAGACATCGAACCTTTGCTACATATTAAGCTCTTTTAACTGCATTCTACAGGCGCTTTTATTGATCAGTAAGACGATCCAGACACATTCAAAATAAAGCGTAGTTGTAGTATATTCTAAGATGTTTTCGGTATCCCGTAAAACCTCGGTATTATTGAATCGGTCAACCGAATGTCTTCAAAGATATCCTCATTGATGAAGTAATCACTCTTCAACTATATAAATATTTCTTTGAGTTGAGCTTTTCAATTATTCTTTCAGTTTTACTACCCACCCCCACCCCTCTTTATTAGAAACAAAGAAGTTGTTATTGTCTGAAAGTGTTGTAGACGTTTCTGTCAATGTAGAGCTTTCCTATCCATTAGCCCAATGTCTATAGATATATATCAGGGCGTGTGATCAGTAGCTCTTTCTTGCATCAAAGTTGAGTAATTTGTATTTTTTTCTCTCGTGTACTTTAGTCAAAATAAATTTCAAGAATATTTCTTCTCTAAAGTTATATACAGCCATATATATATATTTAACTAAAAAAATTCTATAAATTCTTTCAGGTGATTGCATTTATCATGGCTTCCAGTGGTGTAATCCTCAACATATACAGTGATCAAATAGTTATGTGGTACAAATGTTTAACAAGTCTGGCGATAATCACCTTTTCACTATTTACAGTAAGTGTTGAGTTATTTGTCATATTTGCGTTCGATTAAAGTCTAGAATTGTGATAAAAACTAACCCGCTAGAGATGCGCAAAATCTGCAATCTAGCTAGGAAACAATAACGGTTGTGTTGAGTAACTTCCAGTTTCTGAAATCAGTCACTAATGTATGCTGTTTAAGTATTATTTTTTTAAGAATGCAATATTCAGTGAAGAGACTCTTTATTATGAAGCTATACATGTGACTTTGAAGAAATTATATCCGGTTAGGGAATTTGATCAAACGTGTGAATACATGAAGTTAGAATCGGGTTCCAGTGGCTGAATGGTCTACGACCTCGCTAGCGTTGTAACCAGAAGGTCCTTGGTCCGAACCCCGTTGTGTGCGTACTATTGAAGAGCCCTAAAATAGGCTGACGAAACTGATGTCCAGTACTCCTAGCTGGTTCTCCAATGGTTCTCCAACCACTGTCAGCTCATGATGAAATCCCGTAACCAAACGTGAAATAATTATAGTAATGCAAATAAAATATTTGTGATTATAATCACACTCACTCCCTCTTTCAACCCTGGACATGATTTTAAGATCATCTAACGAATTCACGCTAAATCGCCACGTTTTCTTCGTTATGAGCTTGTAAAGACAGAGGATGCTTTGGGCATTCAGGATATTTAGCTAGATCTTTGTGTACAAATGAACTATGTACAATCCTTACTTCTGCCTTGTCTGTAGAGGGATAGACATTTATATAATAATTTTGTTTATTCAGCTATTCCCTCGTTGCTACGATTAACATTATAATTAGTATTCTCACTTTAGACTGTTTTCAGTATTACTTCACTTGTCTCACTCGTCAATCTAAATCAAAAATATTTTCAACTGTTGAATTCCATATTATCAAATTCAACACCAGGTTGCGTAAGGAACGTTTTATATTTATATATGTGTAAAACTTGGGCACTGTGGTAGAAAGTAATTCCATATTAGTTTGTTTATTAGGTATATCACACAGTGAAACAGTATTATTTACTGGATGACGTTTCGAACAAAATTTATTGTTCATAATCATATCAATTGTGATCACACGACTTTGACACTTGTGTTTTATAGTTTTCTTTGTTCTCTCCTATTTGTCGTATGGGTAGTAGAATTTTCCAAATATCGGGGACAGGTGATGAATCATTCCTATTACATGTATTTGTAGTTGATTCGATAAACAAAGCTTCAGTTATCAATCTCTCCCTATACCCTGTGACATTAGATTTTAAAACTGTCATTCTATCCCAACCTATTGTATGGTTGTGTGTGACTGCATGTAGTGCTATAGCTGAACTATTCTCTAGATTTCTTATCTTATTCGGGTCAACCAATCTAGATTTTGCTAAGTTTTTATGTTCAGCTAGTCTGACTGCCTCTGTTCTACTAGTTTGACCTATGTATTTGACCTGACAATCAAAGTGGGTTATCAATCTCTCAACACATATATTAAGTCCTACGGAAATAAGTGTTTTAGAAAAGGGACTAAATTTCAATGTATCTGTAGACAAGCTGAAACCTGAGGATGTCATCCCTAAAATAGAAATAGCACTAAGTGGAATAGACAAAACTACGGCTGATGAAGTACGGGCACAATGTGCACTTACATTGAAACGACAAAAATGTGGAAAGCCAAACCTGACAAAACAAGAGTAAGAAGCCCTGAAACACCTTAAGAATAACAAGGATATAGTTATCACAAAGTCAGACAAAGGAAATGCAACGGTAGTATTAGACAAATCAGACTACTTGGACAAGGTAAACACTCACATACGAACAGGACCATATGAGGAAATTAATAAACCAATTGATACAGTTATGAATAAAGTTAAGAAATCCACAGCGGATCTTATACGCCGAATGAAGCCGTTTCTAGGTGAGTCTAAGTGGTTTAACTTAATGCCCAAAACTAATAACCCCAGTAGGATGTATGGTGTTGTTAAAGTTCATATGTCAGGATACCCTATTAGGCCTATAGTTGATTTTAGAAATTCACCTACTTATGAACTATCTAAATATTTAGCCATGGTATTAAATCCCCTAAAAGAAAATCTAAAACAGGAACTAACACACATAAAACAAGCCTTAAAACTTAATAATTACCCGGATAAATTAGTCAGAAAATATGTAAAGAAAAGTAAAAATAAAATAAATAATGATAGTAGTGATAGTGATAATAACAATAATACTGATAGTGATCATAATAATAATATTAATGACGGCACCAACAATAAAGAATCTAAATCATTAGTAGTAATTCCATACAAGGAAGGAACCTCGGAAGCCTTACGCAGAATTCTTAACAAGGCAGGAATAAAAACGGCATTCAAACCCACAAACTCAATTAGAAACAAGCTTTGTCGGTTAAAGGATCCTATAGAGCCTTTAAAACAAAACAATTTAGTTTATCTAATACCCTGCAATGATTGTCAGGTCAAATACATAGGTCAAACTAGTAGAACAGAGGCAGTCAGACTAGCTGAACATAAAAACTTAGCAAAATCTAGATTGGTTGACCCGAATAAGATAAGAAATCTAGAGAATAGTTCAGCTATAGCACTACATGCAGTCACACACAACCATACAATAGGTTGGGATAGAATGACAGTTTTAAAATCTAATGTCACAGGGTATAGGGAGAGATTGATAACTGAAGCTTTGTTTATCGAATCAACTACAAATACATGTAATAGGAATGATTCATCACCTGTCCCCGATATTTGGAAAATTCTACTACCCATACGACAAATAGGAGAGAACAAAGAAAACTATAAAACACAAGTGTCAAAGTCGTGTGATCACAATTGATATGATTATGAACAATAAATTTTGTTCGAAACGTCATCCAGTAAATAATACTGTTTCACTGTGTGATATACCTAATAAACAAACTAATATGGAACGTTTTATATTTGCCTATTAATCCTACAATTATACACCAACTTCTATCATCTATACATATCCATCTTATGAATTATTCTATTTGTGTCATTAATTGTTTTTAATTCATGGGAAATTCCCAACGGGGCATGTAAAAAGTTAGAACAAGTGATTCAACGAAGAGACTCTTTCCGAAGAATTTATCTCTACAGCCTCTGCCTTTAAAGTCATCTAATAGTCGAAAAGCAATTTGCCCAAATCACTACGTAACCGACTCATCTGTATTGCTGAGGCTTTGGCTATCAAAACAGAAAAGCCAAAAAACTTCGTTTAACCCCTCCAACCTACATGTTATTAATCCCTCTATGCTTAAGTATGGTAATCTCCAATCAGATTTTAACTCTACCAAATTTTTTTTGTCAATTCAATTTGTATACTTTCCCTTTATTACGTCAATTGTTACTATTACTATTGGTTGGAGGATTTCATCATGAGCTGACATCAGTTACAGAACCATTGGAAAACCAGCTGGGTGTACTACCAGACAGCTGTTTCATCTTAGTTTGAGACTCTTTATCAGTATGCACCAAACGACAGGGTTTGAACCCAGGACCTCCTGCTTACAAGGCTAGTGAGCTCATAGACCATTAAGCCACTGGAGCCTAACCTAACGGTCAACCCATGAATTCTAACTTCTGCCAGTTCATGACATAGCACAACCACTTCGCAGTGTCTTCTTCAATGATGAGTTACTGCCTCATCTTCTGCCTGCTGTACCCTACTGGTCACAGCTTCCCACTAGCAGGTTGAAGGTGAGGCAGTAACTCATCAAGGAAGACATTGCAAGTAGCAGTGTAACAACAGAAGACAAGGGCCAGGCAACAGATCGTTTATTAAGGAAAATCAACACATATTTATAGATTTTAATGTACATTATTGTAGATTATTGTTAGTAGAAAATACAGTTTTTTGATTGGTTGCTTCTCACAGAAAGTTAATCTTGCATCTCTTTGTGATTGTGTCAGATCATCCATATGCTAACTGTATCCGCCTACGCAAAGCCTTTGTTCTCATTTTCTCACCACCAATATTGGGGACATAAACACTGACGTCAATTACTGTCTACCAACTTTGGCTAGCAGCCAGCTCTCACCACAGTAACGCTATGTCATGAATTAGCAGAAGTTGGAATTCATCGGCTGGCCATTGGCTTGGGTCCCAGTGGCTTATTGGTCTAAGAACTCGCTACTCTTGTAACCAGAAATTCCGTGGTTCGAACCCTGTCGGTTGGTGTGTACCGATGAAGAGTCTCAAACTGAGACGAAACAGCTGTCTGGTAGTACTCCCAGCTGGTTTTCCAACCGTTTTGTAACTGATGTTAGCTCACGATGAAATCCTTCAGCCAATCAAACAAAATTGCCTACAAAACCAATAACTGACTATTACTATTCTCACTTTGAACTGTCCTGTATATTTTTTGGGTGATAGACTCTCGCTTCGTTCTCTTCCACAGTTCCTTGTTGCTAATCCTTTCCGGCTGACCGTCTAATTTTCATCATGGACAGAATGGTAAAAGTTAACAGCATTCTGTTTAAAATGCCATTCTTGAAGATTTGGAAAGCCTCTGAATCACACAGAAGCAATCCTTTGTCATTAGAAATTGAAAATTCGGATGACGCCTTACACTGATTTTAGAGAATTCACTAAAGGTGTGGTAATGACAAGATTCAAACTGGCAATCATAGGTGAGACAAGACTAAACTTCAGGACAGGTTTAAATGTCCACACTCCGCGTAAGTCACTTATGTGACACTGTGTTTGTTCGTCTCCCTTAAAAGAAATGACTTGCACAGTATGGCAGGTCAACTGTTTTTCCACCTGCTTGGTAATTTGATCGTGTTGTTTAGCACTACGAGTATTCAAGTTATAAAATGCAATATTAGCTAGTGAATTATTGATTACAAATTAATACTTGAGTTTCCAAGTATTGGTTTTGTAAGGATTTCGTTTGATTGGATGGAGGATTTTATCACAGGCTCACATCAGTTAGAGAACCACTGGAAAACCTGGGAGTGCTGTACAGCCAACTATTTCGTCCCAGTTTGGGACTCTTCAGCACTACACACCAACCACCAGGGTTCGAACCAAGGACCTTCCGGTTACACGGCTAGCGAATTCGTAGACCATTTAGCCACTGAGACCAGACTCAATGGCCAGCCAGTCCATGAATTCCAACTCCTGCCAGTTCATGAGGTAGCGCAACCATTTCGCAATGTCTTCTTCAATGAGTTACTGCCTCGTCTTCAACCTGCTGTACCCTACTGGTTACGGCTTCCCACTAGAACCGCAGGTCATTGCATGAATAGGTCCAGTCACTAGTGAGCATCATTTTAATTGTCAAGCATTGGTTTTGTAGGTACCGTTGTTTGACTGGATGGAGGGTTTCATCACGAGCTGACATCAGTTAAAGAACCACTGATGAAGAGTCCCAAGCTAGGACGAAACAGTTGACTGTCCAGTACTCCCATGTTTTCCAGTGGAACTCTCACTGATGTCAGCTCATGGTGAAATCCTCCATCTAATACGTAAGTTGTTTGAAGAGAGTAACCTATCCAGTATGAGAACAGTGAACGCATTTAGATTTCATGCTTTGATTTCATCTACCTCCAACTTATAAATATTTTGTTTAGTTAGGTGATATCAACAATGATGAACACTCATCAGAGAATATTGACGTGTTTTGTATTGCAATTGATTAAATAAATGAATAAATTAGAAATTACAAATGCGTAGGAGGAGTGAGTTATTTTTGTTTGTTTGTTTATTTTATTTGGTTGAGCTTATTTCTGTAAATTTCTTTTGCAACTGTCCATTATCTTAGGTTATTCTAAAACGAATCAGTAATAAACCGTCTTTTGGACAAGTGGCTTGTTTCTACTTTGCTTTGGGTAAGCAGCCTTTTTTATTCTAAGCAATATTCACTACTGCTTTGACTGTACGCGTTAAACAGTAATGTATATAGAATTTCATCATGAGCTGACATTGGTTAGAGAACCATTGGAAAACCAGCTGGAAGTACTGGACAGCTGTTTCGTCCTAGTTTGGGACTCTTCATCAGTCCGCACCGACCGCCAGGGTTCGAACCCAGAACCTTCTGGTTCTCCAACCAATGTCAGCTCAATGAAGTCCTGTAACCAATCAAGCAAATCCCTACAAAGCAATACTTGAATATTAATGTATATATACTATAATTTTATTATACATCTGTTCTAGAGACTAGACGACAGGAGGATGATAGATGGCACCCAACAGTGAATGGCTGTTCAGTCGTAGAACACTCACAAAATCGTGCAAGTGGTCCACAGTCGATTCATGGCCGATGCACCCAAAAACATTACTTTGTTGGTAGTAGTTGCTGTAAGGAGGAAAGGTTCGAAGTGAGGCTAGTAACTCTATCCTGTCACATAAAATAGTACCGTTCCTGAAACTACAAAGCCTGTAGGAAAAATCTCTAGTTTTGTCCAGATCTCTAAATTCAAGGTTATATTTTACTACAGTCTCCCTTTTGGCAACCAGAAATATTCAGATAAAATTAATTGACTCGCTCACTAATACATACAGTGCGGAGAAGGCAAGTAGACAGTCGCGAAGGTCTATGCTAATGCTGGATAATATGAGCTCCGGATTTCTGCCTGTTGTCTTGACGCTATTTTTGGCAGTAAGCAGACCACAGCTAAAGAAACTTAGTGCTGAAAATGAACCTCGAACTGCGTTCTTTACTCATAACTCCAAATGTATTCTCTGAGTTGTCAATTTTCTGAAGTGGTAGACCAAAGTAAGTGTGATGTCAGAGGATATAAAGAGAACGATGCATCGGTGCATCATTGGCACAGCGGTTAGGACTCTCTCCGACCATGCACATGGTCTGCGATTCACTTCCCTGCCAACGTACACCTGATATTAATGGTCGGCCTTCAGAATTTGGGCTACCGATATCACATGCTGAAAATTTTATACGTGAACCGCAAATACGGTGTGGAATCAAGCTATGATCAGAATTGAAAAATAAAAATAAAATCTAGCTCCACAGGAGTTCCACTTGCTCCGACTGGCGTTTGAAATACACTGTACTCGTTCTGCCTATAATTGATAAAAGCGTTATGATTGGTAGTGAGTGTTTCAATATCTTATGAATTCCAGCTAATCATCCCTGGACTACGACAACCTCAAATCAATTTTCAGAGTTATTTATTGCCAGTGTCATTGTTACAAAGCTTCGTTTACAAGCTTTTGGCTTAAAGTCATCTTTTGCTCCAGGCATTGAAGAATTGAATGTAGACAGACTAATCGTAAATAGACTTTAAACTGTCTGAGGGTCTCATTTGTTGAAGTGAATATTCTACCGTTTTAACCGCTTCGAAGAGCTCGATTTCCACTGACAGTAGAACTTCTATCACGAGTGCTTCCAAGCTGTCCCAAGATTAATATGGCATTATTCGGCTAATATGGGTTAGCAGTGGAAGCAATCAGAAACGTTTCACTTGACCAGATAACATTGTATTAAACTAAACGTGTCATCGAAGTATACGTACTAGGAACCAGTATTTCAGCAGCGGCTGAGTATTTTGATCAAATCAACAGAAGATTCAAGATGAAAAAATTGCAACTAATAATGACTAACACTGGTTGCACAGAAGACGTCGGTCCTCATGACAATGTATTCGAATTGATAAGAGTCGGAAATATCATCAGCAAGAGAAGCAGATATATGCAGCTACCGATTACACTTCTTGCTAACAGCAACCAAATTGGTGAGGTCCTTGTTGAAAGAATTAAATAAAGATTTGCGAACTCTTGTTCCCCTAAGAGCTAATAGATGTGCTCATGGCGTTATTGCGAAATGTTTTGGAGGAAGGAGAGGTACCTAACAATTGGAAGAAAGACTTGCTACCTTGTCAAGCTACCAAACAAGGGCGACTTACGCCTCGCTCTGCAAGAACTGGCGTGGAGTAATGCTCTTGTACGCGCCAAGTAAAACACTGAGTCACATCATGCTTGACGCACTGGATGCAGAACTCTGCCCGGCTGGGACAGGTTGGATTAAGGAAAGGCATATCATATGCTGGTCAAATTACAACTCTACGCATCGTCATCACAGAAAAAAGCATAGGATGGTAGTCAAACCTCTACCTCATCTTCATCGACTTCGAAAAAGCCTTCGATAGACAGCGTTGACTGATCCGTAATTTGGAAACTGCCTCAATATTACAGCGTGCAGTGTCCAAATCTTTATCAACCCCGTTCAACGGCTATATGACAATGTCATATGTCGGGTGATTCACATTGAAAACCTCAGAGGGGCGTTCGAAGTGAAAACGACCGGAGTAAGACAAGGGTGGCTGGCTTTTATCACAGATGATGTTCTTAATTTCAGTAGACTGGATTATGCGTCATACTGTGCACAGGGAGCGAGGAGTCAGGAAAACGCTTGCCCACTGACAAGAAGACCCTAGAAGATCTGGATTTCTCAGGTTGATGATTTATGTTTTATATCACACAAACTACATGATTAATAGGAGAAAACCAAGAAACTGGCAGAAGAAGCAGGTGGCAAAGATAGGACTGCAGGTGAAGTGAAGAAGATAACCAACTAACATCAACAGCAACAACAACCAGCACCAATCACGATCAGTGGGAGAGATTTAACACTCACCTAGGAAGTATCGTTTCAACTGCAGGCACACGGCACGGATGAAAATGTCAAATTCAGTTAGAATCGGGAAGGCAAGATACACCTTCATCAACCTGAAATCAGTTTAGAAGTCTTCTGCTTCACTTGGTATAACGAACAATACAAATGTGAAGTCATTCTTTCATTGCTTCTACACTGGTCAGAAACCTGAACTGCATGTCACGAAAAGGATTTCCAACAAGTTACAAACTTTTATCAACAACTGCCACCTTCGCTGGCTGGCTCCATACTGAAGATCAAATGGCCAGGAAGGATTATTAGCAAGAAACTTCAGCTGGCAATAAACCAAGCAAGAGCCGATTGCTCAGCAAATATGTAGGTGAAAAAGGTATGTGGATTGATCGTGTATACATTGAAGAGGCCGTCGAATAACATCGCGCTCAGTGAAGGCCATCACTCCAGTGGAATCCGATTGGTAAACGACGAGTTGAACATCCTACAGTTATAATGAGGAGATGATGATGCAAGCAGATAAAACATTATAGGAAATTGTGAAGCCAGATGAAGACGACAGCATAAAAAGTAGCAAAGTGGGGGGATGTCATTGAAGTCCTATATCCCGCTAGGAACTCAAGGATATAGTAACAAGAGCCAATGATTCAATCAAATTGAAAGGTACTGGCAACAGTACATTTGTATGTTACATCAGCTGACGAGAAAACATTGCAAGCTTGACTGGTAGAATTTAGTCTGCACCGAAGATAGGACTAGACACATTATTTATTTTTTTTATTTTGATTTACAGCTTGATTCCACACTGTATTTTCAATACAAGTATGGAATTTTCAGCATGGATATCGGTAGCCCAAATTCAGGCTGACCATAGATATCGGGTGTGCGCCGGCAGGGGATCGAACCCCGGACCATGTGCAAGGTCGGCGAGAGTCCTAACCACTGTGCCACCGACGCACTAGTTACTGACTAGTGTGCAATCAAAAATATCCAATACAGTCCCACAGAAGGTAAATCGCTCAGTGGTAACGTCTGCGACTGGAGCATTGGGTGACGCGGGTTTGAATCTCAGTAGGGACATGAGCTCCTTAAAGGTTGCAGATACGCCTTGTTGACTGGTGAGTGCCAACTAGCACAAAACCTAGGTCAGTCAGAGCTTCCCACCGATTGCCTCCAACCATCTAATACCAACATTAAACAGTTATATCGTTCTCAATCTATCCAAATCGCTGCAACCAAGTAATTCATTCGACGTTTTCCTAACATAATGGTTTTCCAACTTATACATGGATAAGAAATTGCACAAGAAGTGGAGCAATTCACAGTCATCTGGTCTCCATACAGAATCTTAAAGACAGTTACCTCAACTACATAAATCATCAACTCCCACGCATTCACCCATATTCATTATCAAACGCTCCATATCTGCTTCGCAGTCTCATGAGAATTCCTCAGTAGACACATGAAGAATTCTGTCACAAAACTTCATTTTAAACAGAACTATAGGAGAAGAACATAAGAATTAGAATGTAAAATCAATGAACATATAGAAATTTCGTAACTAATATCAGACATACTGAGTAGAAAATGAAAAATACAGGGATAGTGAGACAGTAAGAATATTAAATTAACACAATGTAGAAAATATAAAATGACAGGCGAAAAAGCTAATTCTCTTATGACGTAAAAGTAAGTAAGTGTTGGGAAAAATTCATACAGAAAAGGATTACTGAGAAATTCATACCTTTTCTGGATTAGGTAACCGTACAAATAAGATTATTTATTGTATATTATATATTACGGGTCTGAAATAAATCTGCAGAATCCCATTAATCTGATTGCATTAAAGATGTCCAATGAATTGGTGCAAAAAGTGAAAATGCATATACTGGATAGTGATGTAGAAAATAAGTTAGTTAGTTAGTTAGTTAGTTAGTTAGTTAGTTAGTTAGTTAGTTAGTTAGTTAGTTAGTTAGTTAGTTAGTTAGTTAGTTAGTTAGTTAGTTAATTAGTTAGTTGGTGTACTTCGGAAGCAGAATCAGACATGAGTGAACTACCGTTTCTAGACTGCCCGGCTAGTTAAGAGGAGGGAAAACGGACATTTTACTATATCTACATTCAGTACAAAAATCCACAACAGCAACAAATATTTAGACTTCGGATCATCACAACCCATCAGCGCAAAAGTGTCAGTTGTTTCAAGTCCTCTTAGATGAGCACACTCCTTGATGTTAACGGATGAGA